CCCCCACTCTCCGTGGCAGAGGAAATGCCTGGGCAGATGGGAAAGTGGAGAAAGTGGCAGAGAGCGTGAGAAAGAGGCCCCTCCCAGCCCCGACCTGCCAACCTCATCAGGCAGCCTCTGGTCCTGGACCAGCCAGGGTGTGTGTCTACTGTCTGTTCTGAGAGCTGGGGATCTGTCCTATGCTGGGAAGAGTTGCATTTCTTGTTCTCCTGGAAGGTCTATGTGTTTGTCTTGCCAAATTGGGGTGGGGGTTGTGCTTAATTTCTGTGTATCTGTCCCTGGGGCGGGGGGGAGTGAGGGATCATCTCTTCTCCCTTCAAGGGCTGAGTATCTGTTCCTTTGGGAGGCATGTGTGTATCTCTCATTCTTGGGGAAAGGGATTCTGTGTGACTATCCTTGCAAAAGGGAAGAGCTATTTATCCACCCTGTTGGGGGCAGGTCTGAATTTATCCCCTGGGAGACTTTTTTCTGACTCTGATTTCATGCCATGCAGGGGGCATCTCTGTCTAACCTCAAGGTATCCCAGCTACCTGGGTCCCTGGGATGAGGGGCCAGTTTTCCTGCTTGGTCACCCCAAGGCTGGGCTCCCTGGTGGGGGCCCCAAGCTAGGAGGGCAACGCCAGTCAGCACCCTGCCTGTCTGGCCGGCCACTGGGCACTGCTCCCTGCTAATGCAGCATGTACCAGGACAGCCCCCCCCCCCCGCCACGCTCCCCTCCCTGGTCCAGCTGCTACCCCCAGCCCCCGCAGCCACATGGAGTCTGATTTATGGTCCTGAGTTGAGGCTGGGCAATGCCAGTGCCTGGGTCAGACCTTGAGGAGACCTGAAGTGGCCCCCCAGCCTGGCAGGATGAGGGCCCAGCAAGAGGAAGCCAGGGTGGGGGGGAGGAGGAGCAAAAAGGGCTAGAGGTGGCAGGTGGGAGGCCTGGGCCAGAGCCTCCAGGGCCCCACAGCTCTTAGGCCACTTCTGAGTCCAGCTGGGGACCTTGGAACGGGCCTTCTCCCCTCAGAGGGGGCAGCGAACACTGGGTAGTAAGGAGGGCTTTTACTTGGCCTGGCACTGACTCCTTCCTGTACCCACCACAGGGGCTGAAGTTTTCTAAATCCCACTAGCCAGCCTAGGCCTTCACCCAGCAGTCCCCTAGCCTGGGCCCAGGGAAGCACCTGGGCAGAGTTTCACCTGAGAGTCTGAGAGTGGAGAAGGGCTGGAGGCAGAGCCCATAGCCTGGGTTTGAGCACTAGCTCAGAACAGCTGCTATTTGAGCTGTGGGGCTGCAAGGTTAGGTCCTGACAGGACTAGAAGCAGGATGGACAGAGGTTCACCCCTTCAGCCTCATATTCCAAGGAATCCAACGGTTCTGGGGTCTCTGCTGCAGTCAGGGGCTAGTGAGGGAGAGAAGGGGGCCCACCCAGATTTCTAAGTTCAAACTCCCTGGGAGGCCCAGGCCCAGCCTTCATACGTGTGCACCCAGCATTGCCCTCCACCAGGACAGAACTCTGACATCCTAACACAACTGCCTCATGGCTGTGGAGGCCTTCATTGATCACTGTCCTGTTAACAGGTGGCAGCCTCCCACTTCTGACAGGTCTCTTGGGCTTCCCTCTGCAGCCATAGAGGCGGCTGTCCAACAGCTGAACATGCCTGGTACAGAGTGGACCATGTGGACAGCACAGTTCGACTGTCGTGTGGTTGCTTATGGCCTTCAGAAGTTTCTTGCCTCCTGGAGGTGAACCTTTACCACTTCCCTCCATAACCAAGGCCTGTGGCTCAGCCAGGCATGAGGTGTTTTCTACCCTAGGCCCCAGGGAAGGGCCATGGGGCACAGCTCCTAAGGTGTAGAGCTCCCCTCAGAACCTAGACCTCAGACCATCCTTCCCAAGTCACAGTGGCACCTCAGGGCTGGGGAGGAGGTCAAGGCCTCTGGGCACTGGGCCCAGTATGGGTGGGTGGGGTGGGGGAAGACAGGGAGGCAGGCTTCCTGGGTCTCCATGTGAGGACAAACAGCAGGCTTTGAGGCCTTGGAAAATCCCGCCCGGGATTCCAGGCCCTGTCGCGTCACTGCCTTTTGACTATTGTCCCCATCGGAAACAGGCCCAGCCCCCGGCCAGCAGGGACAGAGCGGCCATTGTGAGGCCCCACCAGCCTCAATGCCCCCTTGTTCACCCTCCTCGCCCCTAGCAAGATGTGGAGGCCAGGTCTTGGAAGTTGCTGAGAGAAAGAAAGGGCTGCCTCCAGGGTCCAGCCCTGGGCAGGGCAGGCGAGGCAGGGTGGGACTAGAGAATCAGCCAACCCACCCCACACGCCCTACACCCCAAATGTCATAGTCCTAGAAAAGAATCATCATCACTAGGAGATTCTTTTGTGGTAATGGGGACTCTACCACTGAGCTACACCCTTACTCTTATTTTACTTTTGAGACAGGGTCTTGCTAAACGTGAGGTTCTCCTGCCTCAGCCTCCCTAGTACCTGGAATTACAGGTGTGCACCAAAACACCCAGCTTGGAGGTTCTTTCCTTGGCGTGGCCCTGGACTAGAAGGCCAAGAGGTCATGTAGCTGGTATACCCAGCTTGGATACTTACAAGCCAAGTTGCCTTGGGAAATTGGGAAAGTCATTTCATTTCTCAAAAGTAGATTACTCTTTTGGAAAAAAAACAACAGCTAATATTTATTGGTGTTTATCATGTGCCAGGCACAATTTGAAACACTTTTTTTTTGGTACTGAGGATTGAACCCAGGGGCACTTTACCACTGAGCTACATCCCAGCCTTTTTTATTTTTCATACTAAGATCTGGTCTCACAAAGTTGCTTAGGGCCTCACTAAATTGCTCAGGCCGGCTTTGAACTTGGGATCCTCCTGCCTCAGCTTTCCAAGCTGCTGGGATTATGGGTGTGCACCACCATCCCTGACTGGAAATACTTTAAAGTGTACTCACTTTATGGCAACTTTATGAAAGGTTTTTTTTTTTCCCTGATTTATAGATAAAAATAACTGAGGCACAAAAAAGTTAAGTAACTTTAATTAACTTGCCTAATATTACAGCTTGTGAGAGCTGGAACCAGAATTGATTGTTTTTGTTTTTGCTGTGCTGGGGACTGAACTCAAGGCCGAGTGCAGGTGCCTGCTAAGCAAGTACTCTACCACTGAGCCACACACCCAGCCCCAGAGCCAAGATTTAAACCCTGGTGGTCTAACTCCAGAGTCTTTGCTTTTGACCACACTACTGTGTTCCCACCTGTGAGATGGGAACACAAGCTTTTCTCACTAGGTGGTCGTGAGGGCTAGAAATAACAAATATTCCATGAAAAGGACCCAGCTGGTAGTGGATATTATACATGATAGCTATTATCACAATGGGGCTTAGAAAACTACAGGGACCAAGATTCTCCCTTGTCCCTCCCAGGCCATAGCCTGTCCTCACACATGGAGAGAGACCTGAGGTGAGAGGGACTCCGTCCTGCCACAGCTGTGGGAGGTTTTCCGGCAAACTCTGCTCCTAATCACAGTGCTGACGCCAGGCTCACTTCCCTACTAAACAGATGGGGAAACAGACCTTGGTTGAGGAAGGGGCTTCTCTGACAGCAGTGAGGAGGTAGAGGCAGGCCAAGGGGCGCATTTCCTGATGACCTCTTGGCAGGTGCTTGTTCTGCAGATAAAGCTCACTCAGGAGCCAGGGACACATGCTTGGAAGTTCACATCTGGTGAGGGTCACAGCCACCCCCTCAGGGACTGGCTTCTCTACTCCAGCCACACATGGATGCTTCAAAAGGTCTGAGGTTAGACTGTGTTTCCAGAAGCCAAGGAGGCGTGTGGTTGGGGGGGTCCTTGGATAGCTGAGGAAGGCCCTCACATCTCCCCTGCTCCAGAATAATGCCCTATTTTGTCCAATTGCCACATAGTGGGAGCAGCCCCTCATCCAGTCAGTTCCCAGGGGCCCTGGAGGTAGAGACTCAGATCCTGGGACAAGGGTGGTGAAGAATGGAGTGAGAGCACTGCCTTTGGGGATCCTACCAGGTCCAAGAAGGAAATGATGATGCTGAGCACAGAGAAGGGAGCTGGGTCCTGCCTGGTGACTAGCTACCTTAGGCCTTAGGTTGCTATCAATGAGGTCCATGTTTCTCAAAAAGGTGACACCAACTACCTGTATCACAACCACCTGGGTGATAGCTAAAAAGTAGATTCACAGGTCCTGCCCATCACCAAACCTGAGTCTCCGAGGAAAGAGCCCAGGCATCTGCCATTTAAGCCAGCAGACAAAGCAACTGGGAGCTGAGCGGGGCTGGAGAACCTACATGGGGGCACTTGGGCCAAGAAGGCCAAGGCTACTGGATGTGTGGATCCTGTTGCTGCAGTGGCAGGGAGTCAAGAAGGGAAATGTAGAGAATGAGGATGAAACAAAGCTTAAATTCAGTAACTGCTATTACCATTTGGGGCTCACCTCTACCCAGCCCATGTAGACACCAAACAAACACTCCTCTAACCCTAAAACCTCTATGCATCTGGGTCTATTCTTTCTGTTTCACAGATGTAGAAACCAAGAATCAGAGAGGGTTAGGGATGTCACTCAGTGGCACAGTACTTGCCTAACATGCAGGAGGACGTGGGTTTAAAACCCAGCCCTATAAAACAAACAAAACAAAACACAACAACAACAACAACAAAAAAAAAAAAACAGAATAATCTGCCCCAGGTCAGGAACTGTGGCAGTCCTGACACCAAAAGCCAGGTCAATTGCTAGAACTGCTGCTCTAATCCCTGGGTTAGGCAGCCTCGGCTGCAGCCCATCAACCAGCCAGCTGAGATTAGTGGAGGCTCCCCTGTGCTAGAAACCAGTCCAAGTATTTTATATAACCACCAAACAAAGCAGGTGCCAATACAATCTGCCTTTGAAAAACAAGTGAACTGAGACCTCAGTTTATCTAGATTTATCCAGAGCCAACCCTATCTCTTAGGTAATTATGGGGGTGTAGGTAGTGGATGTCAGAGACAGACCATCTCAATTTCAGCTACATGTCTATTTTTTATTCAATATATTAAATATATTAATCAGAAAAGTCACATACTATAAATCCAGGAAAAATACACAAATATAAATGTCAGAATCTGTCATTTGTCTTCTTCCTCAAGTGACAGTTTATGTACATGTGGAAGGAGGGTGGGAAGAGAGGGCAAGTCCAAGGAGGTTGGAAAGGCTTGCCCAGGCAGAGGGGGGGCCCCATCCCTTCCCCCCAACCTCCATCTTAACCTCTTCCTTCCTGTATTTACAGCAGCGTTCAGCTTATTTACAGCACAGAGGCATGTGTTAAAAACGGTTTATCTTACAAAAAACATGAAGGCCAGGGTTGGGCTTGGGGAATAAGACAGTGGGGTCACCCCCATGAATGCATCCCCCTCCCACAGGGCTTGAGCTCTCTGCTGACCTCCTGGAGCAGGTGAGGAAGTGGTCAGTCTGCAGCTTCAGCCCAGGCTATGGAGGTGCTCAGGGGGTCCGTGGGCTAAAGGCACGTGGGGTGGCATAAGAGCACGCATGTGCACACGTGTTCAGGGTTGGAATCAGAAGGGCAGTGTGTCCATAAAAATCTTGTCAACAATGGGTGGAGGAGGCACCAAGTCCTCCAGCTTGAGGTAGAAGATGCGCTGTAGGCCCTGGGTGCACAGGGTTCGCAACTCGGGCAATTTGCCCAGCAGACGTGACAGGCAGCTGGCTGGCTGGGGCTCACCGGCTACGGCTGCCATGTGCTCCTTTAGGCAGCTGGCAATGCGGTTCTGTAGCTCCTCTACCCGCCGTGGCTCCTGTAGCCCATGCCGGTCTGCAAGGAAGGTACAGGATTAACCACCCAGCTGAAGACCAAATACCCTGAAGACCCAGCCTCCCAGCCTCCTGCCGGCCACAAGTGTGGCCACAATTGTTCCTCTCAAACTCCTCTGGCACTTTGCAAAAGCATGTCCCCACAGGAGCTTATCCTTTTTCCTCCAGTAGTGGGGATTGAACTCAAGGGTGCATTACCACTTAGGTATACTCCCAGCCCTTTTTATCATTTATTTTTTGGCACTGGATATTGAACCCAGGGGCACTTAACCATTGAGCCACATCCTCAGCCCTTTTTATTTTGAGACAGGGTCTTGCTAAGTTGCTGAGGTTTGCCTTGAACTTGAGCTCCTCCTGCCTAAGCCTCTTAAGTCACAGGCATGCATCATTGTGCCTGGTTTATTTTTTGAGGCAGGGTCTTGCTAATTTGCCCAGGCTGGCCCCAAACTTGTGATCCTAGAAGCCCAGAAGCCTGTCTTAAAGGCACATCAGAAGCCTCCAGAAGGATGCTCCTTATCCTCCTATTCCAAGGAAGAAATCAAGGCCTAGGAGCTAGAATAACTTGCCTTAGATCACAAAAAATGGATTGAAACCTTAACCCAGGTAGTCTGGTCATGATTTTTCTTCCCCAACAGTTCTGGGAAGCCCTGGAGTCAAGCAGAAGTGTTCTGGGGCCACCGCCAGGAAGAGCTGGCCTTAGACCTTGCCTCCCTCTGCAGCCTACAGTAACTCTGACCGTGTTCCATACAGTTAGGTCCCCTGTGAAATATAAGTGAAAAGAGGGCTGGAGGCAGATTCTGATGCTTTGTAAAATAAATAGATCTGAAAACCTCTCCACTGAACACCTGAGCCCATCCTGCCTAACTACACGTCCTCAAGTCCACAACAAGTGCAGCCAAGCTGTGCCACCACAAGTCAGAGCAGCGGCCACCTCCAATGGAATTATTGATTGGAGAGGATACCAGAAGGGCTTCTGGGGTGCTAGCCATGTTCTGTCTCTTTGTTCAAGGTGCCGGTTATACAAGTGTGGTTTATGAAAATTTATCATGTGTACTTTTCTATGTGCTATGTCACTGACAGGGAGACTTTTAAAACAAACCAAAACCCTAGGCCAAATACACAGCACCTGTGGCCTTATCTTGGGCCATCCGAGGTCATTCAAAGGCAGTCCTGGGCATTGGAGTCAGGTGCAGCCAAGCTTCTCTCCAGTTCCTGAAGTCCCCACTAGGCAGGTGGGTATGAGCACGCGACAACGTAGAAGCCCAGGAAGTGCCAGATGCCATCCTGCCCAATGTTGGGGCAGCGCCTCCTGAGGGCCATTCATCCCCCTAATACCCACCCCCGTGGACCCAGCTTGGTGCCAGCCACTTACCAGTGATGAGGACAAGAGCAGAAAGGCAAGCAAAGGCAGGGACATCGACTACCAAGCTATGCAGGGACCGTGAGAACGCCAGGATACTGTCAATCCAGTCACCAAAGCCGCGGGCACACTGGAGTCGGTGCAGCACCAGGCCTGAGCAGAAGATGAGCTTCCCCTCACCTGGCTTAGACCTGGCGGAAGAGGTGCCAACAGTCAGGTTCATGAACAGAAGTAGCTGAGAAGGTGCCAGGAGGAGGGTGGGCAGCTCACCGGTAGGCCAGGCGGAGGATGAAGAGCTCCAAGAAGGCTGACTCCAGCAGCAGGTCCTGGTCACCTGGAGACAGCTCAGTAAAGCCAGGGATCTTCTCGGCCCACTTGCGGATAACCTCCAGGGAACCCGACAGAAGATCGTAGAACTGCTGCACATCACCAGCATCTTCCTTCCCAAAGTGGGGCAGCACCAGCTCCTGGAACTGCAGGGTGATCTGGGGGATAAGTACTGCAGGCCAGGCCCATGCCAGCCACCACAGGCAGCCCTGTCAGCTGCTTGGATGCCAGACCTGGGAGTGAGAATATGCCCCAGATTGGGCCCATGCACTCACTTGCTGCCCACTCTTACACATCATTCCAGGGCTGGGGCTGCTTTTCTTTTTGGCACTAGGGACCAAACTCAGGGGTTGCTTCACCACTGAGCTACACCCCTAAGTCCTTTTTAATCTATATGTCACTGAGTAGTTGAGGGTCTCACTAATTTGCTGACTGGCCTTGAACTTGCAATCCTCCTGCCTCAGCCACCACGAGTGCCCGAGGCTCCCCTTCCATGCATGTCCCACAGCATCTGGCAGGATCACGATTCTAAGTGGCTGTCCACCGGGAGTGCATTTCTCCATCTGGTCAGGTCAGGGGGTGCCTCTTTTTCCAATGTGTTGCCTGAGGGTGTGCCTTTCCTAGCATGCATTTGCAATGGTCTTCCCCAGAGCAGGAGCAGGGCGGAGTGTGTGGGGCTTCACCTTGGAGTAGTCCAGTTTCGCCATGCTGGGGCCCGAGTCCAGGTGTGCTCGGACAAGGGAGGTGAGGAGATTGGCAGGGGAGGCATCTGGAGGCTGCTTGGGTTTTGAAGGTAGCCGGCCCCGCCGCCCCTTCAGGCTGTCTGTTCGGACAACTGCAGAGAAATGGGGAGGGATGAGCAAAGAGGGAACCAGAGGAAGAACCCTTTGGCCCATGCTACACACTCCAATGCCAAGAAGCACAGGACCCAGGAACCAGTTCTTAAGACCACAGCACCCTAAAAAGGCTCTCCCCTACCACCACAATCACGGTCCAGGCAGGTGGACGTCACCTTCCCTCTCAGGCCCATGGCCTAGAGGTGGGGTGAAAATCAGACCCAGAAAATGCCCACCACTGTAGGCCTGGGGACCCTGCCTGCCCCACCCTATCAGGCCACCTCTGCCCTGCTGGGCCCCATCCTGCCACCCACCTTCCTTCACCATGCCCACAGCCAGGCACTTCTGGAAGCGGCAGAACTGGCAGCGGTTCCGCCGCCTCTTGTCCACAGGGCAGTCCTTGTTTGCCAGGCAGATGTACTTGGCGCTTTTCTGCACTGTGCGCTGGGGGGGGGGGGGGGGTCAACACGGAACAAGCTGTCAGAGTGTGGGGTGGAGAGGGGAAGGACAGGGGAGGGGACCGTCGAGATCCTGCTGCCGACGCAGACAAAAGCACTCTCTGTTCGTAGCTATTTTTCTAACATTTGGGTGGCAAGGGAGGGAGAGATGGAGGGGCAGGGAGGGGAGAGAAGTCCTGGAGTCGCTGGGGGTAGTTTCTGCCTCAAGAGGAAGACCCTAGGGCCCAGGACTAGGAGCGAGGGGCTCCCGGCACTCCAGACACCTGTACTTTTTAACATGCCTGTGTCCATCTACCCATTCCATGGGGCAGACAGGAGAGGGCCAAGGAGTTGGGGGTGGGGACGGGAAGCTAAACAGGCACCCAGTTCTGGGACAAACATGCAGCCTGTTCCCAAGTGCACCCCCAGCCCTCAAGAACCCAACTCTCTGCCTAGATGCTTTCATCACATGCCAGGGAACACGAGTGCCCGAGGCTCCCCTTCCCAGCAGGACCTGGGTGGGGAAGCGGTGCAGGGAAGAACCAGAGGCTGGCCACTAGAACTTCCCCTCCCCGAACACTCTGTAGTCAGTGCCCTTTGCCCACCTCACACCTCTTGTTCCAGCTCTCTGCCATCCCATAGGCCCCTCTGTGCCCTGGTGAATGAAAGATTCCAGCACCTGCATCTGTGGGTCCCCAGGAAAGTGGCCTATCTGGCAGGCTTGCCCCCTTTCAATGGGACAAGACTAGCTGGGAGGAGAAACCAAGGGAGCCTACCACAGACCCCAGTGGGATGAGAGACGGGCCCACACTCACTCCCCACAGACGCCGTGCCCAGAGTAGCATACCTTAAAGAAGCCCTTGCAGCCTTCACAGGTGCGTACACCATAATGCTGACATGAAGCATTGTCCCCACACACAGCACAGCGGCCCTCATTTCCACTTGGAGCCCCGCTCCGGGCCTTGGCTGAGGTCACAGGCACATCCAGCATTCCTGGGCCGTCCAGGTGTGGGGAAGTGGGCGCCAGGCTTGGGAAAGTCACTGGCATGGAATAGCTCTCTCCCTCCCCCAGCTGGTGGGCAGCCTGTGAGGGGAGTAACTTCAGGGAGCTTTGGGCCAGACTGGGGCTAGGACCAGGGGGAGGACTGAAAGAGAAGAAGGTTGGTGGTTGCGGGGGCCCAGAAGCCTTGGGCAGCTGCTCTGTCCATGCCCTCAGGCCTTCGTAAGTCTGGCTGGGGGAGAAGTGGCCAAATGAGCCATCCCAGGGAGAGAGCTGGGGTGGCTGGAAGCTGGGTGTGGACGGCGATGGGGCAGAGCAGGGGCTGCCATAGTAGTCAGAGCCACTGGAGGATAAGGTCTCATCCAGTGGACCACTCAGGGTGCCAGGGTAGCAGCCGTACACCTGGAAGTCTTCAAATTTGAAAGAAGCAGAGGCAGGGGAGGTGGCCGAGGAGGAGGATGTGGAGGAGGCGGAGGAGGAAGCCGAGGAGCACGGCTGGGCTGTCCCGGGCAGCTGGTAGAGGAAGGTATCAAACTCTCCCGTGTAGCCATCCATGAAGGTGCTGAAGCTGGGCAGGGCAGTGGGGGCAGCAGGGGCCGCCTCAGGGCTGGCCAGGTCCATGGTGGGCTTGCTGAGTTCAGGGGTCAGGGCGTCGCTTGCCAGGTGGTCACGGGGTCCTGGACTTGGTGCTGGTGTCCCATATTGGGCTTGGATACAGGGCATTACTCTAGAGAGGGAGAAGACAGAAAGGAGGGGAGGGGATAAGTCAGAGGAACGTGGAACCTGCTCTGAAAGAATAGGCCCAGGACAGCCAGGTGGTAAGCCTAGAGACAGGAGAGGCACCAGGGCCACAGTGCACCAAGAACTCAGGAATCCTGACCCCTGACCAAAGCACTATCTCAATCCATGTGCCACAAAGCCACTGGGCAGTAGCCCAGCCTGAGTGGGCTCAGTCGGAAGGCCAGCTACACCCCAGTCGGCCTGGGAACCCTTGGGAAGGCATCCAGCCAGCACTTCTCTGCTGGAACAGGGGGAAGCTGTGTTCCTCCAGCCCCTGCCCCTCCCCTCCCAGGGAAGGCGTGGGTGGGAGAGGACGGGTGGGAGAGGCAACCTGCCTCAACCCAGCCCCCAGGAGCAGATTGACTTTTTTCTCCAACCAGGCACTTCCTGGGAATATTCCCAGGCACACCCCAGCCACTGGATACCCCTTCTCCCTTCCAGCAGGGTGCCTGGGGAGATGGACATCCTGGAAATGGAAGAGGCACTAAGACTGACAGCCCAGCTGTCTAAGGTGATCTAAGTGGCAACATCCAAGCCTGTCCCTCATCCCCACCCCCAACCGGCATATTGAGCAAGGGCAGCAAATCCAACACATATCCCAGATCTGCTATCTGAGGCTGGGCACCCACTCCAAACCTCCTAGATGCTTCCAGAAACAAATAAAAAGGGAGTCCAGGCCTCCTCACTATTTTCAGCTCCCCCGGGGTTCAGGTAACCAGGCTCCAGACCTTTAAAGGCCTATGCTAAAGGGAATCTGAGGTGGGGCCAGAGAATGGCCCTCTAGATATCCAGGAGAATGGACAGTCCCTAAGAGGAATTTGTCTGCTACCCGCAGTTACTTGTACAAGAGAACTCTCAAAGTCCAGCAGAAGACTTAAGGTGGCTATAAAGAAAGGAGGGCTAGGGATATAGCTCAGATAATAGAGTGCTTGCCTTGCAAGCACAAGGACCTGGGTTCAATCCCCAGCACAAGGGGAGGGAAGGAAGGAAGGAAGGAAGGAAGGAAGGAAGGAAGGAAGGACGGAAGGACCAACGGACGAACCCACCCCTTGGTGGGTGGATAGAAGGTGATCTTCCCCTGCCTGGGTCCTTCCACCTAAGCAGTGTCTGCCCTGAAGCATCCAGAGGCTCAGGCAAAAGGGATTATACAACCCCCCCCCCAAATCCTGAGGCACAGATGAACACAGACAATGTCATTAAGGGGAGATCCTTAAGTTTGCGGACTGCTCCAAAATCATGCAGAGGAAGCTCCAGAACAGTCTCCAGTCTCCCTTTCCACTTCCATTTCTGGGATCACAATTCTGTCCTCCCCAGACAGGGAGGCAAGCTGAATAAGAAACCCAGCTGGAGCACAGAGTACCACGTTCAAGGGGTACACTGATGGGGCAAAGGTTGTTACCACTTCCTGGAAAAGAGCCCAGAAAGTCCTCTGGTTCCAGCCCTTCTCCAATCCACAGGGTCCCGAAACAGGGCAGCTCCATCCCTGGCCAGACATTCATACAACCAACCCAGACAACAGAGGCCCTTGAAGCTCCAGCCCCATCTCATATACTACCTGGGGGGACATAAGGATGGCCACGTCTGTCCACACTAGGATAGCCCAGGCAGGGATGGGTTGTGGGTGGAGGAAGAAAGGTAGCAGCCACACAGGACTGGGCATTTGTTCCAGCCTCATTCAAATCCTGTTTCTCCACTTGGACAGCCCACATCCGGATCAACCCCCACAACAACCTAACCCTTCCACCAAGCAGGTACTGAACAACACAAGATATAAACCTACATCTAGGCTCATAGGAGGTGAAGGGGGGTGAGCAGTCCACAGGGAGAAGGAAGAGGCGGGGTTGGAGGAGGGAGTGGGAGAATCCGCTTCAGGCAGGTCCTGGCAACAATGTGGTTTGCACCTGTTAGGCTGAACAAGCCTCAGGCTGCACCCTACCTGCAAGATCCAACAGAGACCACTGCCGGAAGGGGCAGAGGTGACCAGCAAGTGGAGCCAGAATGGGGGAGGGTATCCTCTAGGTAATGCCACACTAAGACTCCAACATTAGCAACTTAATTTATATGCAGATTCCCAAGGACAAGTGTTTCCACACACCCATCACCCGCCCATATACAAACACACACACACAAACACACCATTCAAGGCACAGTTAAAACAATCTTCCCTGTGCTTCCATATACCCTGACCCAAAGAAAATTTATCCCAGCAACAGCAAGCACTCGTGCACAGTTCAACCACCAACCTAGCCACTTCCTTCAGTAATCCAGAGGTCTCCTGATATAATTCAGGCAGAAAGTTTGGGGTGACCAACCCCTGCAAACTAAGCTACAGATTCTGGAAGTGGTTGAAAAGAAAAAAAGAAAAAGAACAAAAACGGGGCACGAGGAGACTGAGGAGAAAACCCTTTGGGAAATCCAATTCCAGTTGGTGTCAGATGGGTCCCAGAAACATGAAGCGCTACTGTGTATCTTCTCCCCCGCTTTAATAAGACCCCCATCAGCACCCGAATCCAGAACACCATGTGCCTCCTTGGGCAACCTGGGAGACTGAACTAAGGCCAGCTGCTTGCTGGACAAATCCCCACTCCCGGCGCCAACCCCAACCCCTGCGGCTTCCACCTTGCAGATACTTCACCCCGCCCCCACCCTCAACCCCACTCCAGTAGTAGATTCCACTCAAGTTTGGGTCTTTACCCCGCTCCAGCCACTACCCCTCAACACCAGAGCTGCACTACACATCCGCCCTCCTGCAAATCGACCCTACAACAACCTTTCTGCCCGCGTGTACACCCATCGCCTTCATGCACCACCCCTAAAACCAGATGCATACTCCCCACCGGGGTACCTACCCGGACGGCTCCTGTTCCCCCTGCCCGGGACCAGCGCCCCAAGTCGCAGCCTGGTCCCGCGTGCGCTCCTTGGTTGGTCTCACGCACTCCCCCAACTTTCACAGCCTCCGACACTGGGGCTCCCCGAACAAGCCGGACCCTCCTCTTAAACGCTCCGTGACGCACGGGGAGGGGCGGGGGCGCCACTGACGCACACGGCCCCGGCGAGCTTTGGCCATACAAGGGCGCGGGGGGCGGCGCGGTTCCGGCACTTGGCGGCCAGGGGGAGGCGCAGGGACGGGGAGCCCAAGGGGGCGGGGCGAGGAGGGGGGGCCTGGAATGTCTGCGCGCGTGACGCACGCGGGGTTCCATTGACGCAGGGAGCGCGGATTGTTTGATCTATAAATAGTCTCCCCAATCCGCTGCGCAGGTTAAAAATAGCAACTTCCAAACCCACCGGGCTCCCCGTCTCCGGACCTAGGACCCAGTCTCGGGGCCCCAGGTCCAAAATAACGAGCCGGGAGAGTCTGAGCCAGAGGAGAGGGCGCTCTAGAGACACGGCAGTAGGATTTCCCCGGACCAGGATCTCCTTCCTCACCCTCCGGCTGCGCTGGGTCCCTCCGGCTACCCCGGTCCCGCCCCGCCTTTGCACCCTCCCAACCCTTCGCACAGGACTGGGGTGTCGCCCTCTGCTGCTGCTGGGAGGCCAGGGCAGCCTCGGGACACCTACTGGGGAAACTAAGCCCCCATCTCAGCTCCAGACATAGCGTCTTCCCCAGCAGTGTTCCAGGCTGAGTTGTTGCCCCAGGGACTATAGTTAAGAGCCCTGCTAATTCTCTCCGGCAATCTCACCAGCAAAATCCCTTCCCTAGGGTAGGGGTTGGCCATGCCCAAGCTCTGCCAATGGGCTGTGCTCCACAGCTGAACTTGGTTTCTCACCAGTCCTCCCTTTACAGGGTGAATGCACCCAGGTTGGGAAATTACCGAATTTCAGAACCGGGTGGAGCCTGAGAAATCTTTCCAAACTTATGCCAACTCTTCCCCATTTTATAAATAAACAGACTCAGAGAAATAATGGCACTTGCTCAAGGTCACACAGCAAGGTGGTGGCATACTGGGGTGGAACCCCAAGGCCAAGGTCTGAATCTCCAGGCTATCTTTTCACATCTACCAATGCCAGCTCTCTCCGTGATCAGGGAGCACCTGTCCTCCCACCCCACCTCCAGCACTGGTGGAGAGAGCAGCTCTGACCAGTAACCACCTGCCCAGGGAGTAGAGTAGGAAAGGGCCTGTCAGAACTGTATCAGGGCCCAGGCCAGGCTGTGGCCATCTGGAGGCCTTCCCTAGTCCAGCTCTTACCCCTCCATCCCCATCCTGCCCCAAGCTTAGGGCACCACCCCCATGTCAAGTTAAGAGGGGAAAGAAGGGCTGGGGTTGTGGCTCAGCAGTAGAGCTCATCTAGCACGTGCGGGGCCCTGAGTTCAATCCTCAGCACCACATAAAAATGAATAAATAAAGGTATGTGTCCAACTACAACTAAAAAATAATTTAAAAAAAAAAAGAGGGGAAGGAAGATTGGTTAACACTGGCAAGAGGACTAGAGCCCCCACCTCACTGGGACCCACACCCATTCCCCTTCTCTACTGTAAGTCCTCACCAGCAAGACCTCCTGCTTCCATTGACCCCATCTTCATCTCCTCTGGTCACCCTATGACACCTCTTCTGCCCCTGAACACCCTGGACTACTCATTCCCATTCTCACCTCCCATCCCATCTGTCTCCAGTCCCCACTTCTGTCCACTCAAAATTCCAAAAGCACCTCAAACTTCCTCCATTCCAGACAGTTTATCATCTCAGCACCACCTGCTCACCACCCTGTCTCTGCTCCTGATGCCCCATGTACAATACTTCTTTTTTCCCTTAAATTCTCTTGGAACATCCATGGAATCTCATTTCAGCTACAGCCCACAGCACCTCACTGGTGCAGCAGACCGACCGGGTGCACCCAATGACCTTCTGGCCCACATCCACTAAGAAAACCACTCTTGGGCTGGGAGACTGAGACAGGAGGTTCAGGAGTTCAAAGCCAGCTTTGGCAATTTAGTAAGTAAGCAATAAG